AAGGTTGATGTTCCCGTTTCCAAAATTCCATGAAAACGGATACTTCATGGAAACGCCATTGGAATGTTTCCTAGAAGTATCGGTATCATTGAAACGTTTCTACAAAGTTTCCTACCCGTTTCCATTTTATTTTAGGATTTACATGGACTTTTTAAGTTTAAATCCAAAAAAGGCTAATGGGCTACTGTTTTTAAGGCTGAAAACATATTCCCTAACTAATCAAAGTTTCTTGTCCTGAGTCATCTCCTGTCTTCTCAATCCATGACGATCACAATTCACAAGGATCCTCGATCATCACCATTCTTGATTCTCCTAACTCATAATCCCGTCATCGATTATGGCTTCTCAAGAAACACAACGATCATCAACTACATCAATATGTATCAATTTTGGAATTTCTTTAATATATATATATATATATATATATATATATATATATATATATATATATATATATATATATATATAAGTAGGATAAAATAAAAACACCAAAAATGTTGAAAAGCGAGAACAAAGTATACTCATTTGCAATTCCATGTATTTATTTGTGGAGAAATGATAAATTTTTACGCCTTTAATTTCAATTGAAGGGAAAAAACATATTTATGTTGATTATGCTTAAAAATTTAGCATTTCTCCACAAATGAATATTTGTAATCACAAATGAATATATATGTTCTCGCGTTCTCAAACTTTTAGGTGTTCTTATTATTATTATTATTATTATTATTATTATTATTATTATTATTATATATATATATATATATATATATATATATATATATATATACCTGCCGTATTCGTATCTTGAATATTTGAATTTTTCAGTTTCCCGTTTTTGTTCCGTATCCGTTTCCCGTTGTCATATCCGTTTCCATGCAACTTAGGTTTCTCCTCATTAAGTAGGGAGGCGGTGTAATCACGATTGAGTGTGTCATCAATGTTGAGGTCGAACCCGATATCACCATTTGACAATGTCTAAGAGGTATGAGATGTTTTGGTTCTTTTCCAACCACAATATAATCTTCTAGTATGTGGACTACATGCCATTTTTTGCACTTTTTGAGAATCCTTCAACTCTTGGCCAATTTGCAACCTTTTCACTCTTTGTAACTGTAAATTTCAAGTGTCTTCCCCAAAATGGTTGCATTGTTTTCCCCACGACACCAATCTCACTCTCACTTAAAGTAGTTAAACAAAACATTAAATTCCATAACAACTTTGTTCATATTCCTCCACTTTGTGCAGAGTTGATCTTTTGGCCGCTACTCTCATTTGTTCATTTAAGCGATGAAGCATTTTGTTAATTTTGGTAAAAGAATTTGGCCCTTTTTTTGTTGTTGTTGACCTTCGGGTCCTTGAACACATTGAACCATATCAATGCCAACGCCTTCTTTTCCCGTCGGAGTCCAACATATGTACCAGGCTATCCCCTTTCGTGCATCAGGTTGAGGCTCGAATTGAGGCTAGAGTTAGGATTATATTTGGGTTTCTTGAAAATTCTCATAAGCGTTAAATTCAGGTTGAGATTGAAATAGGGTGCAGGATGGGATTTGAATTGGAATTAGGTGTCGGGTGACGATTGAAGTTGAAATTGAGGGTCGAGATGAGCTTGGAATTGGGTTGAATACGATAGATAATATCCTCTCATACCACCAAAACAGTGCATTGATGGTGAACAGAATGGTTTATCCATTTATGGTCTAGAATGGTTTATCCATTTTTGGTTGTTAGGGTGTTTTGGTGTAGTTTCAGGATAACATTTTGGGGTGTGAATGGATTTGAAAGTGGTATGAATATATTGAGAGAGGAATGGAATAGAGAGTGATTGACATGGTGTAGGTAGATTTTATTTATATATATTAGACGAAAAGTAGGTAAAAAATTAGAATTTTTGAAGGTAAAAATGATAAAAAAAAAAAAAAAAAAAGATTAAGGGAAGATATCAAGGTTTGGGTGCGTCAAAAATCTGCCGAGTTGAGCTCCTAAGCTTGGTATGCTAAGGTTGTCGCATGGTGTTTTTGAGCCGCAAAACTGAGCTCCTTGCCGAGGCGACTCCAAGAGTTACCGTCACACAAACAAAGAGTCTACTTGATAATATAACATGTCTATGGACCGGTCTTACTTTGTAAAATGAAAAATTGGTATTATATGATAACTTTTTAGATACACACCTTTTTTATTGGCTTGGAATATTGTAGGGGGTGTTTGTTTTATCTTTTAAAATATCTTTTAGCTTTTAGGAAAAGATAAAAGTTAAAAGATATTTGGTAAAAACAAAAAATATTTTAAAAAAACTAATTTTCAGATATAAGAAAAATGAATTTTTTTAAAAAGTCAGGAAAACATGACTTTTTGCAACTTCTCCAAAAAGTTATAAAAATGACTTTTATCTCTCAAAAGCTAAGCCAAACACCCTTAAAGCAGACTATCATCACACAAACAAAAATATAATATAGACAAAACTGCACAAATGGTCCCTGTGGTATGTCAAAAATTGTCACTTTGGTCCAAAAAGTTTGGACTAGCACCTGTGGTCCAAAACTTTCATTTTGTTGCGTCTTTAGTCCAATCTGTTTTATTTTTTTTCAAAATGACGGATTTACCCCTGCTAATATATTTTTTCTTTTTTCTTATTTGTTTTCCTTATTTTCAGATTAAAAACACAATAAAATAAAAATAAAGTAGATCTCTCTATCTCTCTCTAAAAAAAACAAGAAAATAAAAATAAATCTCACTCTTTAACACACACACACACACACACTCTCTTTCTCTCTCTCTCTCTCTGTCTCGTTCTTCTTCCCCAATATTTCTCATTCCCTCTTTGTTTGTTCTTTATGGCTCTAAAGAACACTTCATAAAGCCCATAAACCGGTGCCATCGCCGGAAACTGGTGTCACCGACGGAAACCACTATCATCCAAAATCATTGTCGACGCCACCACCATCTTCATCATTGGCGCCACCGCCTTCAACCCCACCTTCAGTCCCCATCGTCTCTGTCACTAGCAACCTCCAACAAATCTGAAAGTCAACATCACCTGTAACAAATCCTAATCGATTGCCCCCATCGGAGATCGTTTTGTCACTTTCTTTGTTCGTCTTCTCCACCGGAAACCATATCCATAACCCCGATTTTTGACAAAAACTATCACTAACTTCTGAAACCCTAGCGTCGCCACCTTATCTCATATGGATTAGGGTTTTGAACGAAGAAGAAGGACATCGTCGATTTGTGAAGACAACGACGTTTACAGATCAGGAACGCCGTCGATCTTGAGGGTTTCTAGACGAAGCCACCTTCGAGAATCTGAAATGCATCCTTACAAAGCTTGAATTGATAGATCTGGTGGCGACGATTCAGATCCTCCTCCGTCCAGATCTGGAAGCCAGTTTGTGGGATACCACCGTCAGAAGCAAACATATTGCCTCTCGCCGCTTTTCATCTTCTCCTCTGACTTGATTGTTCCTCAGCAAAACCTAGCTCGAAGCAAACCCTTATTTACATATCTATTTCGATTGCCGGAGAAGAAACAAAGAGCATGCCGGTGAGGGTTGAGATCGAAGGTGTTCCAACGAGAGAGAGATAGAGAGAGAGAGGAAATGGTGATCGGTGGTGGTGGTGGTGTTTACAGGAGAGAGGACTGAAAACAAATTTCTTTTTTTTTTCTTTTTTGTTTAATTTAAATAAAAAATATAACAAAATTAAAAAAAGTAGAAAATGAAATTAAAAAAGGGCAAATCTGTCATTTAAAAGAAATCAAAGTAATTTGAATCAAACTCGTAACAAAATCAAACTTTTGAACCACTGGTACTAGTCGAAACCTTTTTGGACAAAAATAACAATTTTCGACAAACCACAGGGACCATTTGTGCAGTTTAGTCTATAATATATCCAATCTTATATTTTCTAATCACTAAATTTGGCATAATTCATCATCCTACATGAGTTGATATTTTACCTATCATAAACTATTTTTTGCTTGTTTGTAGTAAATTATTCACTTAAATAACATTATAAATTAACATAAATCATATATGACCAACTTCGAAAAGATTCAAATGAAATGTGATGGAAGTGTATCTTTCGTCATTAAAACAAAATCCAGATGACGTCTATCAATCATCAAATATCTAATAAGCACGTTACACATTCCATAGTGGAAAATGGTTCCCACTGGCTACACTCAAAAGGCGATGACCAAGAGTTTTCATAGTCATGAAAACAAGGATTTTATCTGTAGACCCTCTATACTTTTATATTTTATAAAACAGCAATAACAAGATAAGAGTATCTCACTAAACAAACAACTAATCCTATCAACCACCATGTTCACCTTCCCTTTACCACTCTTTTCTTTCATGCTAATCCTCTTCTCCACCGCTACCACCACCACCGCCCAACCATACAAACCCACCGACTACTTCCTCCTCAACTGCGGTGGTGCAACCACCACTTCCGACCGGAAATGGGACACTGATGAACGTTCCAAATTCTTACCCTCAACCACCTCCTTCACCTCCACCCCGAACAACCCAAACCCCTCCGTCCCCGAAATCCCGTATTCCACCGCCCGAATCTTCAACACTTCATCATTCACCTACACTTTTCCGGTGACGAATGGCCCTAAATTCCTCCGCCTTTATTTCTACCCTGCCACCTATTCCGGCTACCAAGCAAACCAATCTTTTTTCTCTGTATCATCCAACGGTTACACTCTCTTATCCAACTTCAGCGCTTTCCTAACTGCATCCTATCTAGAAACTAAGCTTGTTGGTAGTCCCCCGATTCCCAACTTTATCAAAGAATACCTTATATATGTAAGCGACACCCAATCGTTAAATGTCACTTTTACCCCTTCCCCTAACTCCTACGCCTTCATTAATGGTATCGAAATCGTTTCACTACCCGAGAACTTATATTATAAATCAAAAAAGATGAAGTACGTCGGTCAAACTTCTGGACCAATGATCAAAGAGGACACGGGTCTCGAGAATATTTACCGGTTAAACGTAGGTGGGAGTCAGATTTCCCCCAAAAATGATACCGGAATGTATCGATCGTGGCATCAAGACGATAGATACCTGTTCCCGGTAACAGCTCTCGGGAAAACGCCAGATTACCAGTCTCCGATCATCTACACTGCCGACACACCGAATTACACTGCACCTGAGCTGGTTTACGCTACCCAAAGGAGCATGGGTCAGTTGTCTGAACTTTACAATCTGACGTGGCTACTTGAGGTGGATTCCGGGTTTTATTACATGCTTAGGCTCCATTTTTGTAGTATTATAGAGGGATACACGAGACTAGGTTCTGCGGCATTTAAGATTTTTATTAATAATCAAACGGCTGAAGAGCATGTTGATCTGTTTTACTGGACTCAAGGTACCGGGTTTCCTGTGTTTAGGGATTATGTCGTATTTGTGTATGATTTTGATGGTAGCGGAAGAAAACAAGACATATGGCTTGCTTTGGCTCCTAAGCTTGATGCCCGGCCACAATACAGCGATGCTTTTTTGAACGGCTTGGAAGTTTTCAAGCTTAGCATGAAAGGTAATCTCGCTGGCCCCAACCCGGAGCTCCGCCCTACACCACCACCTCCATCACCACCATCGCCTTCCCGAGAAAAGAGAACTCTGCCATACGCCGCCATAATTGGCGGCATTTGCGGAGCGTTAGTACTCATGTTGTTAGTTTTAGGTTTTATTTTGTTCCGGCGAGTGAAACGCTCCGGCGACATGTCATCCGATCAGCAAAAATCAAAAGATTCCGGCCTTCCGTCAGGTAGGTGTCGCCGTTTTACAATTCAGGAAGTGAAAGATGCCACCAGAGAATTTGATGAAACTCGTGTAATCGGAAGGGGAGGGTTTGGTATGGTGTACATAGGGTACATCGACAATGATAAAACAGCTGTCGCTATCAAACGACTAAACGCCTTATCCCAACAAGGTTTTCACGAATTCCAAACGGAAATCGGATTGCTTTCAAAATTACGCCATGTCCAACTTGTGTCCTTAATCGGATACTGCGATGAGGAGGGTGAAATGGTACTTGTGTATGATTACATGTCAAACGGGACATTACAAGATCATTTATACAAAGGAAAAAACCCAAATTTACCATGGAAACAACGTTTAGAAATTTGCATCGGTGCAGCGAAAGGGTTGCATTATCTACACACAGGTGCAAATCGCGCCATTATTCATCGCGATGTGAAATCAACTAATATTTTGCTCGATGAAAATTTTGTGGCGAAAGTGGCGGATTTTGGTTTGTCGAAGTTAGGGCCAAAAGAGAAAGGGGTGGATTATGTTAACACAGCAGTGAAAGGGACACTTGGGTATATGGATCCTGAATATTACAAATATCAACAACTTACAGAGAAATCTGACGTGTATTCGTTTGGGGCTGTATTGTTAGAGGTGTTGTGTTCGAGGCCAGTGATCATAACCCGAGGGGTTCCCGATGAAGAGATGAATTTGGCTGAATGGGGGAGGAAAAATTATGGAAAGGGGACGTTGCATGAGATAGTTGATAAGAGAATAAGAGATGAGATTGCTCCTAATTGTTTGATGAAGTTTGGTGAGGTCGCAAATAGTTGTTTGAGAATGAAAGGGAGCAAACGTCCGAAGATGGATGAAGTTGTTTGGAGGTTGGAGTTTGCGTTGCAGTTACAAGAGGCGGCTGAGAAGATAGATGGCGAGGTGTCAGGTGACATGAAAGGTGGTAGTGGCATGTCGGGAAATCAAGAATTTATGTTTCCGGTGAAAGAAGAGGATGTGAGTGTAGTTGAGGAGTATGAGTATAATTATGACTTAGAAGGGACGTCGACTGGAGTGGGAATACAACATGAATTGACATCGACTGATGGCAGCAGCCATGAAGTGTTTGTGTCAGAAAAGGTTTTACCCAGATGAAGATCAGGGGTAGCATAGGAAATTAGGTTTGGATAATCAATGGAAGTATAATAATTTAGGTTTGGATGCTTGGTTATCAGTTAAGTTGATGCTGGAGTGGATTTTAATTTGATTAATTGTGAGATCCAATTATGTATTATTATAATGTTTCACGTACAAATGTCCACTAGTCATCGATGAATGGAGTAGTTGTGTTTAGGATGAGCATCGGAACTCGGTACACGTTTTTGGAATCAGAACCGGAATCGTTTAGGAACTATCGCTTCTGGAACTGAAACTATCTTAAGTGGTTCCGATTCCGATTCCTAAAGTTATGGAACTGCCTTAAGCGGTTTCGGCTCCAATTCTTATTTTTTCGTAACCGTTGGGTACCCGCCAAAACCGATATATATATATATATATATATATATATATATATATATATATATATATATATATATATATATATATATATATATATATATATATATATATATATATATATATATATATATATATATATATATATATATATAGGAATGAGTTCTATGGGAAACAAATAACTAAGGCAACATCTACCGGAACGAATAATCAAATGACACGTGTCCATTTCTTTCTTCACAAGTAATGTATTGTGGAAGTGATGTGTTGTCATGTTTTCATTGGCTCAAATATGTGTTGCCCTAATCATTTATTTTCCATATAACTCTGTCTCTCTCTCTCTCTCCCCCCCCCCTCTCTCTCTCTCTCTCTCTCTCTATATATATATATATATATATATATATATATATATATATATATATATATATATATATATATATATACATATATTAGTATTTCATATAAATATGTGTGTGTTACATATATCGGTTTAGAATATATTGGTCCGATTCTGTCACTTTTTTATCCAAATTAATTCGATTTGGATTGAACTAAGTTGCGATTTTATCGACAAAAGTTAACAAAGTTAATGTAACCAGGTTACCCACTCCGGGAACCGGAACCGTTGGTTCCGGGATTGGTTCCAAAAAATTAATAACTGCCTAGAGTGGTTCCGATTCCGGTTCTAACTTTCTAGGAACCTCCGATTCCGGTTCCGGTTCGGTTCTCGCCAAATGTGGCGGGTACCCACCTGTGCTCATCCCTAGTTGTGTCAATCGGATAACTCCTTTTCACTTTTATGGTTTCATACATGGTTAGTAGGTATATCAAATGAGATATTTCAAAAGTTTACAAGCGAATAAAACAAGTAGCATTTTGATACTCTTACCTAGGGGTGTAAATGAGTCGAGTTGAGCTCGAGCCTGACCAAGCTCGAGTTCGGCTCGTTTAATTTTGAGGAAGCTCGAGCTCGAGCTCGATTCGAGCCTTAAAATGAACCTTGGGCTCGGCTCGTGAACAATTTAGTGAGATCGCGAGCCTAATCGAGCCTAAACGAGCCTCCATGTGTGTGTGTGTGTGTGTGTGTGTATATACGCTCTTTTAAGCTCGTTTAGGCTCGAGAGCCCACTAACTGAAGCTCGGCTCGATCTTGTTTAATAAACGAGCCTTATATTTAAGCTCAAGTTCGGCTCATGATCGTTTTATTCGATCTCGAATCGAGCTTTCAATGAGTCGATCCCGAGTAGCTCGGCTCACTTACACCCCTACTCTTACCTCCTAAAATCATTGATCCTTCAAATTCCCCTATTAGAAAGACGTATTAGAATCGCCGGTTGTTTCCGTTGGTTAACGTCATTTCTAATGGATTTTCGACGAAAATTGGTTGGTTGGATAAAAATGTCGTTGGCAAAATATTACCGACCCTTTTCCGATGGATTTAGTGGTCGATGCCTACAATCCTTCTTTGACTTTTTTAACCACATTACTAACACCTTTTTGACCACATTACCAACGTACTTTCCACAGATACTTTTACCGATCTAACACTTTTAGCGACGGAGTACCAACAAACACATTATAGTCGTATTATCGATGGACATGTACCGACGGATTTGTTTACTTTTCAAGACAACTGGTCCCGTCAATATTTCATCGTAGTTTGAATTTTTGTAAAGTGTTAAAAACTAAAAAAAATCTAGTGTTTTTTGTACAAAAATGCAGAAAAAACCAATGGATGATACAAATATGCTAAACATATAATCACATGATAAATAAATTCTAATAAAAAGTGCTAGATCACAATACAATCTGGTGTCAAATATGTTACATGAAAAATGTCAAATACAAGTATTGGTTGTTTAGGTTAATTAGGAACATAAAACTAATTTCCGTCTGGCGATTACAAGATAAGTAGTTTCGGTTGAAAAAAACCATTGTTTGTTTGCTTAAGTGAGACTTGCCTTCCTCGTATTTATGTCATTTTCAACTCCGTTTATGCTTCGCTTTCTCACATGTTAGCTATTTCATGACACAACTTTTCCATCTAAAAAAAGATAAGACAAACATATATAGTTAGTAAACTACTTAACTTTAAAACCATTATAACAATGTACTTTTGTTTATTATAGGAACATGTTAACAATTTAATACATAACACCAACATATTGTACTTTTTATCTAATATAGCAATGTTCTCGTAAGAACAACATATTTTGAGTTTTTTTATCCTTTATAACAATCAATGTAATCAATAATAACAACATAATATATTTTTTGTCCATTATATCATTGTACTCTTAATAACTACACACTTTGAGAGCTTTTGTCTATTATACCAATCAATTTAATCAATAATAAGATTATACTATACTTTTTTCCATTATATCAATATAATAATAAGAACCACATACTTTGAGTATTTATCGATTATAGTAATCAATTTAATCAATAGTGACAACATACAGTAGTTTTATCCATTATATCAACATACTCATAATAACAGCATACTATTCACCTTATCTATGATAGATATCAATTTAAAAGTCGTGTTAAGCACGGCCGATGGAGATTTGGTTTTGGAAATTTTATAAATACATGGCCTACAGAGACGATCCTAATGTATACTAATAATTTTTATAAGAAGTAAAATATTCTAAATATAAGAAAGGGTAAATTACACGAATGATCCCTATGTTTAGGGTAACTTGCGAGTTTGGTCCCTAACTTATTTTTCTAACTCGGAAGGTCCCTACTGTTTGTTTTTGTTACACGCTTGGTCCCTGTCTTACATAAAAAGTCTATTTTTACCTTGATTTTTTAATTTATTTAAATAAAAACAACCTCAATTTCATCCTCTCTCCTTACCTTATCTACTCTATCATTTTTCTCTATTTAAATAATTGTTTTTTACGTAAGATAAGGACCAAACGCGTAACAAAAACAAATAATAGGGACCAAATGTGTAACAATAACAAACAGTAGGGACCTTCCGAGTTAAAAAAATAAGTTGGGGACCAAACATGCAAACTACCCCAAACCATAGGGACCATTTGTGTAATTTACTCTATAAGAAATAAAAGTGGGATGCTATATAAAAATATAAATGAAAGTGCATTGATATGTCTTGCATTTATTCATATCTATAAAATGGAGCAAATGTAAACTTAAAGATTGAACATTTATTACTAGTGTGATACGTTAACATTCATTTTCTGAGACTTGCTTGCTCTTGAAGTTATATTGTTGGCATAATATATTCACAACCAAAACTTATGATACATTATCAAGCTAAAAGGCACTTGGATATCAACAAAAGAGAAACCAAAACATATCAAAGTTAACCAACAATAAGTAAAACAATTAAATTTATAAACCTTATCACATCCTTGATATAAAATTTCCACACTTTGAAATGAGTGTTCCATTTTCCATTGAAAAAATAATAAGAAGCTACATAAAACCCAAACTGATGATCTCTTAAATGTAATTTGAAAATGAAAAATATAAATTATAAAATATAAAAGCTAGTCTATAAGAACTCTTTGACCACTTAAAAAAAACAAACAAACGAAACGACAATTCCTCTCGTCGTTTTTCAAAAATTAAGGAACACTCGAGTAAAACCTATAAAATCATAAAACAAATATTACACTATTAAATATCAGTAACTTTATAAGTAATTTAAAGAGAATCGATCATCGATTAAATGTGAATATATTGCTAAGACAATCATATACCAACTACTTATATATTATTGTTGAATATATTTTCCACACACAAATACACAACCACAACCGTACACACACAACATAGAAAATAAAAAATAAAAAAATATCACAATTGATAGTATAAAGAATAGGGAAAAGCTTACTTTACCATAGTCTTTAGGATCTCAAATTTATTTCTAGTATTCAAGAGTTTCTATTCTAATTTAACTCGCTTATGAAGAAAACCAATAGAATATTGATCATGTTGCAAGACCAAGGGGTATTCCTATTACTCATGATGATAATCCATTTTGTAGTGAATTTCAAATGTGCTTGTAGTGTTACGAATGATTCAATATCTTATATTTCTAGTTTTATCAATGCAACACATTTCGAACACTATTGTCCATATGTAAATCTTCGTACCAACCACTTTAGTTGACCCAACAACTCCAACTTCTTTTGATGATACAACTTTGGTTGTTATACCTGCTACTATTTCATCAAGCATTTATGCTCTATTAAGTTCCTCAGCCCAACGAACTTATTTTTCATCGACCCTTTTTCCTTCGGTTCTTCATGATGATGTCAAAAAGCAAGAGAATCCATTAGAGGAGAGCGTAAATATCAAGTTGAAGACTCTCAAGCTAAAATGCTAAACACAATGGAAAAGGCTTTATTGACATTAACTCTATTAGGGATTACATAATCTAAGGCTTTCCTATTTCTATAATCATTCTACAGAAGCTCCACACTGAGGTTGTGCCCCAAGCTGAGGGGCAGTATATAGCTGATTCATCCTCCCCAGTTCTAGATGAGAATTTTCTTTTCTCCATCACAAGCCGAGGTGCAGTATCTAGTCGATTCATATTCCCCTTGTAACACTAAGATTTTCAACTAAAATTTTCAATTTTTATAAAACATAATTCCATC